TAAATATGAAAGGCAGAGGCATAGGGCTTTAGAGTGAATATGTCACAAGGCCAACAGCAGGAAGACTCCTCCTGGTCTGGGGTCTGATGAGAAGCTACCAGGGCCTTCCTCACCAGCAGGACTACAGAGGAGGATCTCTCTCTACAAGTGTGGATTCCCTTTGACACCTCAGGCATCTGGGGCACAATCCAGGGATGGCAATCACCCTCACGCACCATGGGGCCTTCTCCACAAGCCCTCCCTCCAACACCTGCAGGTATTGGGGCCGGTCAAGTACCCACCTCAGGGGTACCAAATTTTCAGGACATGATGATGAGGGCTTTTCAACAGTGCATGGCTGCTGGTTCCAACAGCCCCAGACACAGCCTCACATGGCACCCTTACCCATGGTTCCTGAGGGGCTGGAGGCCCAGGGGGCAGACCCCTCTGACTCCCCTATTTTGTCTCAGGAGGACAGTGAGTCTGAATCCGAAGAAGGCAAAATCAGAGAGGATAGACTCTCTGAGGTCGAGGGCATGCCTTCTTCGAAGCCCACCTGTCCGGGTTGTTCCAGTCTTCCTTATACAAATCCTTACTCTTCAAGGCAAAAACAGCTGCCAAAGTTGGCAACAGGCCATCAGAACCACCAATGAATCCTCAGGGCTTCTTGGCAGAGACCATATTTGAGGAGCAGACTGTGGAAGCCGACACGGTACCCACACCCAAGTCTTCCTTGACCTGATTAAAAGACAATGGGCATCTCCCACCTCAGGCCCGATGCCCACATCCACAAACAAAACATTTTTCAATGTGGACAAGGACATGGCGAGCGATTCTTGACCTGAAGAGGCTAAACCAGTTCATACGCTACCAAAGGTTTAAGGTGCATTCGCTGCATTCTATCCTGGAAGGGGTTAGGCAGGGAGATTTTCTCAGCTCCATAGACCTCACGGAGGCCTACTTACATATACCCATAGCCCCGGAGCACCGTCAGTATCTCAGGTTCTGCTACCTAGGGCACCATTTCCAGTATCGGGCCTTACCTTTTGGGTTGTCTTCTGCTCCCCGAGTTTTCACGAAGGTAATGGCAGCATTGGCAGCGTACCTAAGGTTAATGCCTATACGAATCCAATGCTATCTAGATGGCCTGCTGTTGCATTCATCCTCCCTTAAGGGTGCCCTACGGGACTTAGACATCACCATGTTAACCTTAAGAGATCACAGATTCTCAGTTAATCTGGCCAAAAGCCATCTACACCCCTCCACTAGGCTGATTCATTTAGGAGCTTTGATAGACACTGTGTCAGGCACAGTTTCCCTGCTGTCTGAAAGGCAGCACAATCTTAGGGAGCTGGCCTCCCAGGTATCCAGGGAGCGTAGGGTATCCCTAGCTACATTGTCCAGGTTGCTAGGCATGATGGTATCCGCCATTGGCATTATGCCTTGGGTGTGCTTCCACATCAGAGACCTCCAATGGTTCCTTTTACCATTCCAGCGAAGGCGCATGAGCTGCTCCCAGATCAAGATCCTCCTACCAGCAGAAGTATCCCACTCCCTGATATGTGGACATCCCCGGCGATAACAAAGGAGGAATTCTTCAGAACTTCAGACCAAGTGACGGTTACAATGGATGCCAGTCTGTTTGGATGGGGGGGGGCACCTGCGTACTCAGATGGTGCAGGGACAATGGAGCCAGGCGGAATTGACTCACAACATAAACTGGCTGGAGCTCAGGGTGGTCCGCCTGGCCCTCAGACAATTTCACCACTCTGTCAAGGGCAGTCATATTCTAGTACTCACAGACAACATAACCACCAAAGCGCATATAAACAGACAGGGGGAGACCAGATCAAAGTCCCTCATGCTGGAGGCCAAGAGACTGGTGCTTTGGGCCAAAAGGAATCTATTCTCGATAACTGCGGAGCAGATAGCAGGGGTGGACAACGTCAGAGCTGACTGGCTCAGCCGACAATTCAGAGTGGAAATTGCAACCAGCAATCTTTGAGGCAGTTGCAGAACTTTTCGGCCATCCAGAGGTCGACCTATTTGCCACCTGTCTCAACACTCAGCTCCCAAGGTTTTACTCCAGGTACCCAGCTCAGAAAGCGGAGGAGGTGGACACTCTCCACTGCCTGTGGCCTTGAGAGCTCCTGTATGCCTTTCCACCCTTGCTGTTGATTCCCAGGGTCATCCAAAAGATCTTACGGGAGGGAATGCAGGTGGTGCTGATTGCCCCACATTGGCCCAGGTGGCCTTGGTTTGCCGACCTCAGGTCCCAGTGGACAGGCCCTGGAGGATCCCCCAGGAGAGGATCTCCCTCTGGCAGGGGTCGCTGGAGCACCTGGACCCTCAGTGGCTCTAGTTAAGCTCCTGGTGCTTGAGTGGAGCATCCTGAGGTAGGACAATTTCTCCTCCAGGATCATACAGATGATCCAGGCAGCTCGCAGGCCTTCCATGTAGCGTATCTACAGCGCTACGTGGCACACCTTTTGCACATGGTGCACCATCAGGAACCATGACCTGGTTCAGGCCTCAGTGTCACAGGTGCTTGACTTCCTTCAGGCGGGTCTGGACAGAGGGTTGGCTTCGAATACTATTAGAAGACAGGTCTCTACAATTTCCTCGGTAGTCCTGTGCGATAGGTCTCAGACACTAGCTCACCACCCCATGGTCAAGTGGTTTTTCAAGGGTGCCTCTAATCTTAGACTGCCCATGGTACACAGGTACCCTTCCTGGGACTTACACAGGGTGCTGGACGCTCTGACAGCCCCCCCCTTGAGCCGCTACGAACAGTTTCTCTCAGGTTTTTGACACTCAAGGTGGCCTTTTTGGTGGCCATTACCTCCGCTAGGTGGATATCCGAGCTACAGGCACTGTCTACCAGGGAAGACCTATTTGTGTTCCACCAAGACAGAGTGGTTCCACGACTGGACCCCTCCTTCATACCCAAGGTATGCTCTTGTTTCCATCGTTCGCAAGAACTGATATTGCCCAATTTCTGTCCGGACCCCATTCATCCTTTGGAGAGAAAGTGGCACACCTTGGATGTGAGGAGGGCTCTGAGATATCTACCTCAAACGAATCCTGCCAACCAGAAAATCAGAAGCCCTGTTCATCTCCTTCCAGCTGGGGTCCCTTGGAAACAAGGTAACCTCTACCACTATAGGCAGGTGGTTGCGAACCTGTATTGCTACTGCATACCAAGCACGAGGGCTGCAAACACCAAGGGCTATTATAGCACATTCAATATGAAGCACGGCCACTTCAGCAGCCTGGGCCATGCAGGCCTCCTTGACTGAGAACTGTAGGGCAACTATGTGGTCTTCCCCCTCACCATTCGTGAGGAATTAAAAATTGGACTTCTTTGATTCGGCGGAAGCGTCATTCAGACGTAGGGTGTTGCAGGCTGTTCACAGAGTGGGAGAAACATATCACCAGGCATAAGGTTGAGCGTATGTATGTATGTATGTATGTATGTATGTATGTATGTATGTATGTATGTATGTATGATGTGTGAACCCTC